TTTTAGCAATTGATGAACGCAAGAATTTACAAATATCAGAGGCTAAAATTACACCAAAATCAGAACTGCAACCTGCATCCTACTCTTTCCGTTCTGGGCAAGCGACGTCACTTATGTTCAAATCCATTTCTTCGAACTCAACTTCTTTAGACAGGAAAAGAACTAGAACTTTGGGTTTGTTTCCTTCAAGTCAACAAGCTTCTGCTTCGTATGTTATGCGAACTTCTACAGGTATTACTGCTTCTCCGTCTCCGTCTCCTAGATTGATGGTAAACAGAAGTAGAAAAGTTTCTAATGGTAATTTATAAATTTTGTTCTTTTTTTTTTATTCAAAAATATTAATTTATTTTTACATATATATATATGTAGCTCCTGTGGATCTATCTTCTCATATGTCATTTGGTGGTTTAAAAAGTGGTGAAAATGATGACGAAAATGAAGAGTCATCATTTAATGTGAAGCGTGGTGAGAATATTGAAATATTGTTTAACTTCTTGAGATTACAATCATATGATGGAAAGTTTTTAGCCAGTAAAGAGTTTTATAAGTATTTTGATGATAGTGGAGTTAAAATTAATAGTAATTTGAAAAAAAGTATTCCTAAAGTAGAGGAAGAAAATAAACATATCAAAGAAGAAATTTGGACGACATCAATTGCCATAAAGTATTTGGAAATTGTGCTGTTTCCCAAATTTAAAGAAGAAAGTGAGATTTGCTTTGAGAAAGCAACAAAAGTTTTAAAGAAACTAGTGATGGAAAATGGAGATGGATGTAAAGGAAATAATTCGGAGGAAAAAGTTAATTGGGTTTTAGAAAAAGCCGAAGAATGGATTACAAAATGGGTTAATGAAGGTTAATGAAGGTTAATGAAATATTTTTATTTTATATATTTCCCATCTCCTCCTTCTTCAACTTCTTTATTGCTTCTTCATACTCTTTATTTGCTCTTTTTGATTCTCACGATTTAAATTTTTTTATCTATTTTAATATTTTATTAATTTAACAACAATCATAAATTTCAATGGACATACTTGTTTTATGGGCTCTATTTATTATTTTATTAATAATTTTATATTTATTTTGTACTGATCTATTAATATTAATAAAGAATTTAATATGAATTTTACAAGAATTTTCTTTATGTATTTATAATTTTTTTTTGTTCATTTAATATTTAAACATTGAACAAAAATGCAAGAAATAATGATTTAAAAAATGCTTGCTTTAACATTATACTTCAGGATTCACTCTATTGGATTTTTAGCCTATGGGCCAAAGAAATGACTATTTTCGAGATAAAGTTTATGATAAATGTTCGCTGTAGTAAGAAATCAAGTAAAGTCATTGTTACATCTACTTCTCGGAACTTTTAGCCTCTTATTTTTTTAATATTTTGGTGGAAATATTTTTTAGCTTGAATTTTTGTGATTTTGTTAAATAAAATAAAATAATTTGGTCTTTTAATTGAGTCAATGAATTAGAATCGAATCCGAATCTTATTGAAACCAGAGTCCCTTGGTTAAGAAACGTTATTTGTATTTATCGTTCAATAACAACTTAAAGATTTTAAACATTTAGAAAATTTTATTTTTTAGTAGTAAAAATTTTATTCTCTTCCAGAAACGAGATGATTTGCAGATGGAAGAAATTAAAATTTTGGATGAATGAAATAAGGAAACTTTTGATTTTGAAAAACAAAACGACAACAATTCTTACATATTTGATATTTTCACATTCCTGGTAATGACATCTTAAGTAAAATCCAGCATTCAAGAAATTCTTAATGGGCAACTCTGGAAAGATTTGAACAACCTGTGATCTCAATTATTTTGCCACCAAGATCAATTCTGATTCCAAACTGCCTATTCGAGAAAGAATCATTTCCACTATCATTACTAATGAACATATTGCTAAAATTTCCTCTTGAATTGTCTTTAGCAGACATTCCTTACGAATTTTAAGAGGCAGTAGAAATGTGTTTGCTCCTCAAGCTTTTGGGATACATTCTCGTACTGTAGTAATCATGAAAGTTGAAGGATCGGATGAAATCTTTGGAGGATACAATCCTTTAGCAAATCTAAATGAAAAATACTTGATAGAAGCAAAACTTTATTTTTTCATTGAAAAATGTGATATACGAAATTCAATTCTTAGCAGATTAGATTAAAGAGATATCAAATTAAGACCTGAATATGTGCAAAAGTAATCATCCATATTTTGGAGGACTTTGCATATGTCTATTAGATCTGTGCCAAACTTATCATGGTCACTATAAAAAACCCACAACAAAAAATTGTTTCTCGATTGTTAATTAAGATTATTAAGAAAACCATTTAGAAATTTCAATCTTTAGAAAATAATTAACGATATTTATTTTTTGTGACATTTTTACCTATTTTATCGATAGATTAACTTTTTTTAAAAAAATTTTATAACGGATCTAATAATTTCCATAATAATAATAAAATTAACGTCAGGAAATTTTTTAACGGGTAAATCTATATTTACGACACACGGTATTTATACGGGGCCGTTTTGTAATTTATCGGCGGATATCGGTGCTATTAGGATAAAACACATGTGAACTTGTAGTCTAGAATCGGGGCTTTCGTTCGGTCATAAGAATATCTTAATCGAAAATCCCTCCCTGTCCACAAATCGCGCTCGAAATAAAATAAAAAGAAATTTTTCTGCGTGGCGTAAAAATTACGGAAAAAAATTCCGCCAATTTTTATGCCAAAAAAATTACTTTTTTGACTTTGATCGCGATTTGTAGGACGGGAAGGGATTTTTGAATAAGGTATTCTTATGACCGAACGAAAGCCCTGAATATGGGCTACAAGATGAAATGTGTTTTGTCCTTTTAGCACCGATATCCGCCGATATATTCCGACTTAAAGTCAAAACGGCCCGCATAAATACCGTAGGTTTCGTAATTACTACGGAAATTTAAGCCTAATGATAACAATACTTAATTCAGTAATTATTAAAAATAGAAAAACGAATTGGAAATTTAGTCGTCATTCCAACTAACCAATCATAATTCATAAATTACTCCATAAACTTTAATGGATCACATTTACCAGTTGGCAAATTACAAACTGCATTTTTATTTGCAGTTTCTTTGATCAATTAATGTAAATCTTCCTAAACTTATGTTTCATTTTGTTCAAATAATTTCCAATATGATAAAGCCATTTAATCATTTGTCATTTAAGAAATGACCTTTTTGAAAAAAATGACTATTCGAGGTTATTGTTCCAACAATTCATTGTCAAAAATTTTTTAAAAAAATTGAAACCTATGATAGATGTCTACCTGAACACTAGATCAAGAAATATTCTACCTTATAAAATTTTCTGATTGAGAAATGGACCCAACACGTAACATTGTGCTTGTCCTACTTAATGTTTGCATAAATTGATATTTAGCTCTTTTTTTTTTGACGTAAGAATGTCTTAAAATTTTTTGACAAGTTATCTCAAAACCTTATTGAACTTCTTAATGATAAAGATAATTGCAATGTAATCATTGAAGTCGAAAATAAGGAAAAATCTTTTATGGCACATTCTAATATATTAAAATATCGATCGTCTTAGTTTCGTAAAGAGTTAGAAAATATTCAACCAAATAAAAATAATATCAAAATAATTATCAAGGCAAGCATTTAGGCTCAAATTTTCGATGTCATACTTAAGTAAGTTATTATTTATTTATTTATTTATTATTATAATTTTATAATTTTTTAAAATTTATTTATAATTAATTTATCTTATATAGATATATTTATGGGGGAATTTTTAATTTGGAAAATGTTGAAACCAAATTTATTTTTGACTCAATGTTAATTGCTAACAAATTAGGACTTGAGGAATTGATTAATAAATTAGAAACTCATCTTATTGAAACCAAAGCTTCTTGGTTAAAAACACATTTTTCCTTTATTCATCATTCATTATTTATTAATAATAACTTTAAAAGGTTAGAAATTTTTTGTAATGATATTATAGTCAAATATCCAAATCTTATTTTCGAAAATTCAGATTTTAATTCTCTTCCAGAATCTGCCTTAATATCTCTTCTTAAATGAGATTATTTACAGATAGAATAAATTAACATTTGGGATTATGTCATTAAGTGAGGAATGGTTCAAAATCCCACTCTACCTAAAACACTCGATGAATGGAATAAGGAAAATTTTTTGACTTTAAAAACTACTCTACAACAATGCTTACCATATATTAGATATTTCCATATCCATATTCCCGGTAATGAAATCTTAGATAAAATCCAGCCATTCAAGAAAGTTCTTGATTAACAACTCTGGAAAGATTTGATGCAATATTTAATATCTCATGATCGACCCATGAATTCGGTTATTTTGCCAGCAAGATCAAATTGCCGGTTCGAAAAAAAGAACTATTTTCCATTGCCATTACTAATGAACACATTGCTGAATTTCCTCTTGGATTAATCATTTATCAAGTATTTTATTCTTTAGCAGGTATTCCTTATGAATTTCAGCTGATTTTGAGAGGATGGAATTTGCTCCTCAAACGTTTTGGGATACATGTCATAGTCATTCTCGTACGGTAGTGATTATGAAAGTTAAAGGAAAGGATGAATCTTTGGAGGATACAATCCTTTAGCTTGGGATAAAAATACTACTTCCCGTAGTACTTGGGTAAAAACAAAGTATGGCTTCATTTTCTCATTGAAAAATGGTAATATACAAAATTCAATTCTTAGCAGAGTAAAGACATCTAATTATTCAATTTGAATGTGAGAAAAAGCGATCAAAAATCTTACGGTCCATATTTTGGAGGTGACCTTTATATGTATAGTCTTAGTTCTTCAATTTTACTTTGGACAAAAATTCTAAATATAATTATGGTGATTATGAAAAATCCATAAATATTTCTCAATTGCGAATTATGAAGTATTCAAGGTTATTAGGGAAACTGAGATCTTTAGAAATAATCAATGATATTTATATTTTATCGAGTATAAATCTTGCATAATAAAATATCAAATCTAAAATTATTTGAGAACATACTCCATTTTAATAATTATTATCTTTTATATTCATGTTTTTTATTACAGTTATATATATGTATTATTTAATCAATATTTTTTTTTATCCAAGTTTTTGCAATTGTATTGTACAGAGTTATTATAGTAATAAAATCTTTATTATTATTATTAACAACGAAACGATTTGAAAGTTTCCCATTAAAATATTAGATTGTAAAAATTGTAAGAATAATAGTTTAATATTGCGTTGAGAATACACATTGACTAAGATTATTTATAACATACATTATATTATTTTTATACAGTACTATTTCTTATTTTATACGTGAATAAAAAGGTTTATGTTATTTATGAAAATCATAGAGATAAGAATTACAAATGGATCACGCATATGGAGCGAACAATAAATTTAAATAGTGTATCTTTGTCTCGGTTCACATGTCAAAAGGATCATATAACATATAAATAATAATTAAATATTTAAAATTCTTCCTAAGTATAAAGAAGGTATAAGAAGAGTTAGCATCTCAATATACTTACTAGTTATTTAGTTCTAAATTATATAGAAATATATAGAGAAATTTTAATAAAAGGTAATTCTATATGCGTATTTTAACATCTAATTTATGAATCTTTCTGAATATTATTATTAAATACATCATCACAAAAGTATTTTTCAATTGTTTATTGTGAAGTATTTAAAGTGAGAAATATGAATTTTTTCTTTTTTTTTGAATTTTATATGTCAAGACTCGTAAATATTTAATATTTTATGATTAATAATTTATCTACAATAAACTTTAATTGTCAAGTTTTTATTTGA